TATCAGCAAGTTTATAAAAACACATTCATAAGTCGGATAATGCTAACAATAAGTAATAGCATTATTTGAAATTGTTTTCGTAATTAAATTTATATGTTAAATGCACAATACGTAATTAAATTTACCACAAAATTATCCAGAAGAATTTCACATAGCTTAAGATCATACATAAAATCTATATAAATTTCATGCTAAAGAACAATATTTTATTTCGCAAAAAAATGATTAAATAAACTGAAAATATATTTCGAATGATGTTACTGATATGTAAATTATTACTCAGAGTTTGAATTAGAGTAAGTTACAGAATTCGAAAAAAATCTATAAAAATAAATTTTTTGCATATATATTTCAAAGATTTCTAACCATTTTGGCACACCTTATATTTGAAAAAATTGGATGTATGTGTGTGTGAAAGTGTATGTGTGTACGTTTGGATACAATTTTCCGACTTCGATATCGGATCAATAGATTTGAATGAAACAAAAACCATTGGATTCGTATTGACAGGAAGACGTGCAGATTAGTTTTTGCCAAAGGTAGGCAAAATATAAACAAAAAGTACAAAAATAGCCATTTTTGAGAGAACAGAGCATCCGATTAGAATAATTCAAAAAACATTCAACTCGTACTGACAAGGAGACATGCTGATTAGTTTTTGGCAAAGACAGGTCCAGCCGTTCTGGAAATACGCAGCAAAAAGTGCAAAAAATAACAATTCCAATTCACAAAGTATCAGCAATTTGCCGTGCGCTACAAGTTTAAAATAAAATCACTCTAAATAAAATAAGTCTTTGTTTTCTCTGTTTTTCGATAAACTTTTGGTTAGTGAAGCTGTTAAAAAGAATTGAATAGAATTGAATATTCAATGCATTAATTTTTTTCATGGCAATTTTATTTTTGTTAGAATAAATCATATTTTGGAATAGTTAGAATAAATCATATCATGCAACTTTTTTATGTAATAAGCATTTCAAATTAATATATATTGTATAACTTTGTAAAATATTTTCATAAACTATGTAACAAGGGGTTAAATAACCACAGGGTTAAAAGCCATAAATTAAATACAAACTAGTGGTACATGGCATCGTGCTTTAAGGCAAATTGCTGGAACTTCCCGTACCTACCAAAAATTAAAAATTTTAAAATAGCTTTAAAAGTTTTTGAAAACTGAAGAAATAGATTTTTGAGGATTTTGAAATTTTTGGAAAAAACATGACTGTTTCAAAAGATCTGATTTTTTACATTTCGAGATTTTTTGAAAATTTTGAAGTTTTACCAAAACAATCCCCTGCGTAGCAGCTTTATAGACGAAATATCAAAGATTGTTAGCGCTGCGGCGCAGTGTAACGTATGAGCATTGGTACGGAACCCATAGAAATATAAACAAAATTTGTACTTATTATTAAAATATTTATAAAACATCTGATAATTTACTGTGCATATGCCTAATGATCATTTTTGACCGACAAACGACTTTTTTTTTTAAATTTTTCACTCGATCTCCCTATGTAAACCATTTTTTTAAATTGCTCCGAACTGTATTAAAAATATTCTGGTCACTAGTATTTTACATAATTTCACTATCTGAATAAAACTATCGTCCATACGCATGTTGAATATTTATAATCGCGTGGTTTCGCGACAGAAAGTTTTTCCGAGCGATCGCAACCGTCGGCCTCCAGTGGCACGGTCAGAAAATATATCAAACCCAACAGCACGCTCTGTAGCCTCTCATAAACTTTCTAATGCTTTGGAACAATGATAGATGCTTAATTATACAGTAAAAAACACAAGGTGATTCATAAGGCACCATTGAATTCCTAGATGACTCGGTCTCTATTACAGACCAACAAACTGTCCTATTTGAGGCATCAGCTTCAAAGTTTAGCCATAATTTTGCACATTTACCTGGATGTCCAATCACTCGATTGCCATTCTAAGTATACTACCAAAAATATACTGATGTTTCATAATGGAATAGGTGCAGATATTTAAAAAAAAAGCACTTTGCTGAATTCATAAAGTATTTGATATAAATGAACAAATAATACAGAAAATGGAGCGTGTCGGCATTGGTAATTTAAAAGGCGTCAATTAATTATTTAATGTGTTATTATTACTTTGGATGTGGACTAAATAAAACCAAATCATAACTTAACGAAATGAATATTAAAATTCGAATAAAATCTACGGATTGAATATTATAACACCAACAATATTGTCATAAAACAAAAAGGAGTTTAATACAAGCAAAATATGAAAAAATACAAACAAATACAAAAAATATAAAAAATACAATAGTACAAAGAGACGTATGGACAAAATGACATGGTGTTTGGTTTTTTAATGATATTTATTTTTTTAGTGATATTATAATCAGTCTCAATCGTTTTTACTCATCTTTGGTGCATTGACTACCTGCAACATAGTTTTTTAATTAAGTAGGAACTATAATTACATATTAAAAAATGCAACTTATTACAAAAATCATTTTGTACATAATGTGAGGACAATATGTCATATAGGATAAGAACATACTGAGATAATATTCTAAAGAAAACAGTTCACAAATAAATTGTTTGGTCCTCTTTGGGACATGAGCACATGAAGCATGACCCTAAAGGGAATAAAGGGAGCAAGTTAGACATCGTAACAAACGTTCGCCGGGCTCAGAACGATCAAAAATAATTTTGCAATAAATGCAATTTCCTTCTTTTCACCGGAGTATCTTTTGGTCTGTTTTTAGAAGTAGTTAGAGTAAAAGTTGAGAGCCAATCACCATTAACAGGTTTGATTTTTTTTTCTTGACTCTGCAATGCTTGCGAAATAGTCCGAAGTCATTTTGTTTAGTAGAATAAGTATATCATTTCGTCCAAAACTGAACAAAAATGAATGAATAATGAAAATTCCATCGAACGCCTGATAATTACAGTTCATTGATTTTAAAATAAATAATTACAAATAGTAATACATAAATATCAAAAAACATGAAAGGACCACTCTAAAAATAAAGTTTTGAGGACGCGATACACTTTTGTAATGATTACCGCGAGAAGACTGTAACAATGACGCCCAACATCTGACAGAATTGTTATTAGGGATTTTTTAACGTTATACAGTCGCGAAAACGTTACCAGAACTAGTCAAATTTTAAATAAGGCCACTGTGTCATTTTGTCCTTATATACCATTTTGTCAGTATTTCCCCTACAAATAAATTAACTTTCCATTAAAAGAAGTATTTATATTCTTGCTGATTATATGACCACTAAATAATAATTTTCAACTTAAATTTCAATAAAATGTATCAAGCAGCCAAAATTTGACCCTAGCAAACTGGTCCAGCTCAATACCGATCTGTGCCCAATCGAAAAATAAATCATTTTGCAACTTGAAAAGTAACATCAATTGTTTAAAATCCACACAAAGCTAATGACTACTATTTAAAAGTACTAAGAACTAATACAGCAATGAACTTGAATTTTAGTTCCACTTAAAATTCCTCTCATTCATTGTCACAATGATGAATAACTAATTAAACATCATTCTCGGGTTAAGAGTGAACCGCCATCAAAATGTACAAATGACCCAATGTCTTTTATACGGATAAGACCTAAGAAAGTGTATGGGCTACTGAATAATAGAACCGGTTTGAAGAAATTTAGTACGATTGAGAACTAGAGACAAAAACGGTATATTTTTCACTTTATAGATAAAATTGCGAAAGCACTTTTCACATTTTTATTGATTCATTATTTTTCTTAATTACACCGATTATACATTGGATTAATGTAAATTATCGAATTCGGGGGTATATTTTTAAATGTTCTTTATTTAGATATTTATTTATTAAGTATACTTGGCTAAAAAAAAAATTGTTCATAATTATTAAAATTTAGCTATATGCTACATAGTTTAATTTTTTTACTATGGCTATAAAAAAATCCATTTAAAAGGTAATTTTTGTGCAGAGGCATGAATTTTAGGTCAGTTTTAAATCATCGTAAAAAAGCAATAGTTTTTTTTACTGTCATTTTTTATAATTTATTCATCAACTACTAAAGTACAAAAAAGTTTACAAAAAAAAGTTAATAATTTTTAAAAATTAGCAATTGTTGAAATGGAGGGTCTGAAAAAATTTATCATGCCCACGATTGCAACCCTTCTAGTAAACCGAAATAAAAAAGATCATTAATATAAAATGATGTCGCAATGTACTAGAATTATATATTTTTTTTTGCAAAATGACGACTGTTTGAAATAAAGGGTTTTTTAAACTCACTTTTTGAGTTTCTCAATTTTTTTAAATAGTAAAAAATGCTCGAGAGAAGTCAATAAAGAAGAATTTCTGAAAATTTCAAGTGAATCGGTCCAGTAGAACTCGGGAAACCGTAGGTATCGTATTGAAAAAGACAGTCTAGAGAAAAACGCGTTTAAAGTTTCGCAAAAGGATTACCATGGTCAAACAGCTGTTTCTCCAAAAATAATTGAAATTTTAAAAAATTCTCTCGTCCACATATTCTTAAAACTTTGAAAATATGAAATAAAAGAAAAAACGATTTTTTTTAATTTTTACACTAGAATACCCCTTTAAATTAGTAAACTGTACAAATATTTATTTTTGCAGTTACACTAAATACACTAAATAACTTCACGTTCAGAGTAAAAATAATCAAGTAAAAGCATTGTTTCATTGACCTGTTAAAAATATCTAAGAATAGCGTGGCTCTAATGTTTACACACAAACAATTCAAAATATGATTAAAACAGTTTTACTTACAATTAGATAATAAATACTGTTATTGAACATTCATCTAAACTGCACAATTAATTAATTTTAGTGCAATAGAACATATTATTTGTCAACTGCCAATGCACATGAGGCATAGGTAGACAGTTGCAGTTTTGCACTTTCGAAATCTTGCTACTTATTCATTTTGTAACACATTACAACACAATTTTGCATCCTTTATCAATGATTAAAATATTACTTACTGTGATGTTTGGAGTTGGATTTCCAGATGTTCTTGAAAAACGACATTTTCACTTTTGTTTACAATTTGTCCTTAAAGATAAAAACTGTTTTATATCGGTTATTTAAAATTGAAAAATACGCGGTAATCACTCCGCTTAGTTCGTGGACATGCGAGTTTCGAATGTTATTTACGACTTAAAAAATTTATCTGGAGACTTCAACGGCGTGTTATATTTAAATATCAGCACTAAACGAAGCACATATGTTCTAGGAGAGTATCGCGACTTATTCTGACCGCGTTCAGAGTACGACTGAGCGAGAGTGAACACAACACACAACATCAAACACCGAGCGATACTATCAGCCGAACCGACCGGATGAGTCGGTCGGGCACGGCTGGTCACGGCGCGCACCTCGCACCGCGGTCGCAGGCCGAACGAAGGCGGCGGTACTAAAACCTGAAGCCTGCGGTCTGCGGCGCTTGGTCGCGCTGTAGCGGACCATGCCGTGCTCGCGACATCGCCCGCTCAAGAGTCGAGAGTTGTTAAGTTTACTGGATACAACACTTTTATAACTTAATCGAGAGAAAAAAAAATAACATATCTAGTGGTGCATGGCATCGTGCCATAAGAAAAACTGATGGAAATTTCCGAACCGCAATTTAAAATTTTTGAAAAACTTTAAATTTTCTTGAAAATTATTTTTTGTAGTTAAACTTCTTTCGGCGCGACTAGAGTGTAAATCCGTACAAATGCAACGGAAGTCCGTTACGCCCGAACTGTTCATTTGCTCTCGATGAGATCATTTCTATACGGGTCGATTGTGATTAGTCGTCGTGTATGTGAACAGAGATCTGTCGTTGTATGCGTACCGGCATCAACGTTATATGCGTACCGATATCAAAAAGAAAATTAACAAGAAAATACCTAAATCATAAAACTATTTTACCATGTTCCTTAAAAATAATAAAACAATTTAAACGTTTGTGCCGTAAGTTTATTGATTAGAAATAATTTCTATATTATTCGTAGTTTGTATAAATCTTTGAAGTTATTAAAATGAAAAATATTTTTAGGAAAGACAGATATTACAGCTGTTCAAAGAATGAGATTATATCGCCAGCGAAAAAGTAAAAAAAATATACAAGCAGTCAATGAATGTATGTTAATTTTAATTACATGAAATTGTAGTTTCATGTAAATCAATTACATGATGAGTGAAGTTGCAAAAACAATATTTGTTTAGGCGTTGTTTAACATAATCCACTGTGTGAACGAATATTATAGAAGTTATTAATCAGAAATTACTTCATTTCTCTAACAAAGGTTTATTTCTAAATGCTAATTACAATGACAAACCGATCATGTCATATTTGAAGTATGACTTTAATTGCATTATTGTTTTTAAATATTATACATATTTTTAATGCTGTTATAAATATATAATTTATAATTCATCATTATATAAATGTATATAATGGGTGAAACTAATAAATATGTGCATCACGAGTGTTACCATATTACTAATGAACATTATTCAAATTTGTTATATGATGTATTTATTTTTACTTAAATGCCATCTGTACAGTTGCAAATAAGTTTTACTTCAATCGCGTGTGAACCTTACGCGCACTCTTTTTTTTTTATTTTGAATTTTTTTCAAAAGCAAACACGCCGCGTAGCTGTTTTAGAGGCGAAATATCGAAGAGCGTAAGCGCCGTGTCGGTTAAACATTATAAATCTTGGTACGGAACCCATAGAAATATAAAAAATGTAGTTATTATTAACAACCCAATCATTTTTGTCCGACAAATTGAAAATCACCAAAACCGTTGGACCTTCCTTCCCAAAATCTTAATAATTTTTTTATTCCATCAATACAAGTAAAACGTTTTTTGAATCATTCCAATCGGATGCTTTGTTTTCTCAAAAATTGGTTATCTATTTTTTGCACTTTTTGCCCCGTATCTTCGAAACTGCTGGACCTGGCTTTGCCAAAATCTAATCAGTACCTTTCCACATCAATAGGAATCGAATGTTTTTTTGAACCATTCAAGTCGATTGATCCAATACTCTCGAAATGGTGTACGAAAAATTGTATCCGTACATACATACACATACATCTATTTTTTAAGTAATGCCTAAATGCTGAAAATGCTTAAAACATACAGATATGGTACATTTTTAACTTCCCGTAGGGCAAGTTATAGTAATCGCAAAAAAATCAAAAATGAAAATTTTTATATATCTTTACGTTTCAGAGGTTTCTGAACATTTTGGCATACCTTAGAAAAAATGGATGTATGTGTGTGTGTGTGTGTGTGTATGTATGTATGTATGTGTGTGTATGTATGTGCGGATACAAATTTTCGTCGACGATTTCGGGAACACGAATCAACCGATTTGAATAATTTAAGAAACATTTGATTCGTATTGATAAGGAGACGTGCTGATTAGTTTTTGGCAAAGGTAGGTCTAGCCGTTTCGAAGATACGGGGCAAAAAGTGCCGAAAACGGTAACTCAGTTTTTAAGAGAACGGAGCGTATGATTTGAATAATTCAAAAAACATTTTATTTGTATTAACTAAATGAAGAACTGTTCAAAATTTTGGAAAGGTAGGTCCAACGACTTTGGAGATATGGAGAAAAAAGTAAAAAAATGAGCCATTTGGCGGTCAAAAATGATCATTAGACATATGCACATCAAATTATCAGATATTTTATAGAGATTTTAACAATAAGTATAAATTTTGTTTACATTCCCATGGGTTCCGTACCAATGTTAACGCGTTAGACGGCGATGCGGCGCTTACGCGCTTTGATATTTCGTCTTTATGCAGTGAAAGCAGTACGATTGCTTTGAAAAAACCTTCAGAATTTCCAAAATATGTCAAAATGAAGAAAACATTTTTCTTTTCAAAAAAAATTTGTTTACAAAAAAAAAAATTTTTTTTTTAAAAAGTAATTTTTTGTCAAATTTATAGTTACTCAAAAATCTAGTTTTTTCGAAGTAAATTTCTTTCAAAAATGTTAATTGTTTTTAAAAAAATAATAATTTTTCGTACGGGAAGTTCCAGCAATTTGCCTTAAGGCACGATGCCTTAATTGCCTTAAGACAGAATTCCACTTACAGCTAGTTCATTTTCAATTTTCTTGCGATTACTATAACTCACCCTACGAGAAGTCAATAAACATTTAGAAAATTTTACGATTACGTAAATTTTGAAACTTGCTATTACAAAATTGCAGAAATAGTTTTTTGTAATAATTGCTATTGTGTTAATATTTTGCTTGAAAAAATAAATATGCCTTTTGTAATTTTTTTTTTATCAAGTTACAAAATGGTAAGTAATACTAACTTAAATATAAATTTTTTCGTTTTGAAATGGCAGCATATTTTGATTTATATAATACATAATAATGAAAAACTCTTATTCTGAATTTCTCAAATATCTTTTGGTTCTTTCAGCTAATAACTTTAACGGCTTTTGTAAATGGTATCAACATGAAACTATTTCATTGAGAAGCTGAACTAATGAGTTCTATGAGATGTTGTGATAAAACTTCTTAACAAAGTCACTTTTATAGAAGGCAACCCAACGGTAGGTCTATCTATATTTGATACATTTTTTCATGGGAAAGGCTATTTTCATCTGGAAACATATTTAGATCTGTCTATTCAACTGAGAATGAATATCACTACCGCTTGTTATGAGGTGTCCGAGTTGGGTATCAAACTAGGAGCCTTGTTGTTGCCAGGCCGAAGCTTCTACTTCTGAGCCACAGAAGAGTCCGCAATTTGTACACTTTCGTTTGCCGAATGCTTTACTAATATTATGCGCTCAAATTGTACGTTAGCCCTTATCTTGGTTTCTTTTAGGGCATGTTAATGACCCGTTTTTCTTTGTTCATATTACCTTAGAGTTCAATGAACGTCAGCAAAACACTTACCTCACACATCTTATCATACGTACGTGTTGAAAACAAAATCATCTTCAGTTATTAACTTTTATATAGAATTAATTTCAGGCACTTAAAAATTGTACTGGTTTTCTCATTTGTTTACAAAGATAACGTATGCTAAAACTAATAATAAGATAAAAAAGTAAACATAACTGCTAAATATACATACTGATAAAAAAAAATCTAATCAGCTGTGCTAGGTAAGGTGTTATCAAAACATCACACTTATGTGAGAAAGATTTTTTTTATAAGCGCAAAATCAATATCTGTCATAGTTAAAAGTCTTTCTCGTACATTTAATCCTAGTGACCACTGGTTCCGGTACAATACAAACCCCAGCCATCTTAATGTCAAGCAGTGATAATATCAGATTTCAAGAGTGAGATTATAGATCTAATAAGTTATATCAATATTATAGTATATTATGATATAGTATTACATTTAGATTTTATGTCAAAAATAATTTGTTAAATAAACATTCTTTACTATCAATAATAATAAGCATAGGTTTAATTTAATTTAAAATATATTATTGAAAAAAAAAAGTGAATAAATTAACAAAGAAAGCATTCCTTGCTTGTTATTCTTGTTACTCTTGGTGTTGTAAGTTATAAGATTTCACATCATACAGAATCTGTACGCAGTTTTAAATCTACAAAATCTATATCTATATCTTAATTTGTTATGACGGCATCAGAAAAATTACAATGTATATAAAATTTATGAATTTTCAAAAATTTTAATTTTGCAAAATTAACAATATAGATATAAGTCATTTGAAATTGAATGTAACTTTTTTATAAACATCAGAATTATGTCAGAAAGATATGTGAAATTAAATCAATTAATATATAAAATAATGATATAATATAACATAAAATTACAAAGAATATTTTTATCTATTACAAAATTTTTGACATAATTTATAGTGATATACATTTTTGTAGTGATATACAATTTATTTTACCATATGCGCTTTAATTATTCATTCAATAAATTACCAATTAAATTAATAGATCAAAAGACCTGTAAAAACTATTATGTACCAATAAAATTTACGAAATTCGATCAAATCAACAGACAAAAAAAAAATAATAAAAAAACATCATAACACAGGGTAGGGCGGGACATAAAGGTTCAACTAGACTTTGAGCAATTATATTGCAAAAACCAAATCAATTATATCAAAACAAAAAACTATCTGACTTTATTCAGTAAAACTTCAAGCTAAATTAATATTGAAGAAGTTTTTTTTTATTTTAAAACTTGGTCTTCTTTACCCTATAAGCAAGGTCAGAAAGCAAACAGATCCAATGTTTTATTTTTATTTTTA